CCACCGTCACTCTCTGCCAGGCAGCCCTTAGTCTCCAACTTCTCTCCCAAAAGACTGAGAGCCCTACCTCTCCCTCCTTTCTTTGCAGCAAGAACCTCACCTGGCGGGACATGCAGCACCTGGTGGTACAGACTTCGAAGCCAGCCCACCTCAATGCTAACGATTGGACCACCAATGGTGTGGGCCGCAAAGGTGAGGGCAGGGTGCCCCCCTGGGCTGGGCTTGGGGGCAGGCAGGGTCACTTTGTTCCTCCCAGCTGACTTGTCTTCTCTGCCCCCACAGTGAGCCACTCCTATGGCTATGGGCTATTGGATGCAGGTGCCATGGTGGCCCTGGCCCAGAACTGGACGACGGTGGCCCCCCAGCGGAAGTGTATCATCGACATCCTCACTGAGCCCAAGTGAGGGCTGGGCCTGGGCTGGGAGGGGGTGAGTGAGGCGTGAGGTTCACAGGGTGTGACAGACCCTCATGGTTCTCTGCGCACAGGGACATTGGGAAGCGGCTAGAGGTGCGGAAGACTGTGACTGCATGCCTCGGGGAGCCCAACCACATCACCCGGCTGGAGCACGCTCAGGCGCGGCTCACCCTGTCCTACAATCGCCGTGGCGACCTGGCCATCTACCTGGTCAGCCCCATGGGCACCCGCTCCACCCTGCTGGCCGCCAGGTGCCTGTCCTACCCCTGCTCCACCTGGCCCAGCTTTTCTGTTTCACATACCTACACGCATTCATTCATTCACTCTCACGCACCTTCTTGCTTAGTCACTCAGTCCTGATGATCATCCAGATACTTCTTAGTGGAGGGACAGCTTTCCCCTGTGGGACCATCCCGTACTGCAGGAATTCCCGCCAGCAGGTTGCTCCCCTTGTGTGGTGCCCTCACTTTCTAGAATCCCCTGGTTGGGAAATAGAGCCAAGCTAGCAAGCATTTCCAGCCCAGCAGATGGGTGCTGCACTGCAGGAGGGTATAGGGTCCGTGTGTTGTGGGTGTGGTACCCCTGGCCTGGGCCCCCCTGGTCTGGGCCGTCCTGAGGCCTCAGGCGGCTGAGCACATCCTCCTCCCGCCAGGCCACATGACTACTCCGCAGATGGGTTTAATGACTGGGCTTTCATGACGACCCACTCCTGGGATGAGGACCCATCTGGCGAGTGGGTCCTGGAGATTGAAAACACCAGTGAAGCCAACAACTATGGTATTGGGGTCCCTTGAGGGGTGGGCAACCATCGAGAAGGCACGCTTTTGGATCTGGGGTGCTGGGCAGGGTGCCAGCACCCTCTAACTCTTGCCTCCCCACTCCATGAATAGGAACACTGACCAAGTTCACACTTGTGCTGCATGGCACAGCCCCCGAGGGGCTGCCCACACCTCCCGAGAGCAGCGGCTGCAAGACCCTCACGTCCAGCCAGGCCTGCGTGGGTCAGTAGTGGGTGTTACTGGTGTTTGGGGGTATGAGGCTGGGGGTTAGGGGGCAGAGGGTACCTGTCCTAAAGATCAGCTCTGGGAGGAAAAAGGAGTCTGAAGAGACCCAGGGCTCCTAGGGCCCTTAGGATGACCATAATTCTGGGGCTGGGGGCTCCTGGGGATAGTGGGGACTATGCTTGAGGTTGCAGTCCCATGGGTCTGCCATGGTCCTGGGCTGAGAGCTCACACAGCCCTGTGGCGGCTGTGACCACGGTCAGCTTAGCTGACTTCTACCGCCTTCTCTCCGGTAGTGTGCGAGGAAGGCTTCTCCCTGCACCAGAAGAGCTGTGTCCAGCACTGCCCGCCAGGCTTCGCCCCCCAAGTCCTTAACACACACTATAGCACGGACAACGACGTGGAGACCATCCGAGCCAGCGTCTGCGCCCCCTGCCACGCCTCATGTGCCACATGCCAGGGGCCAGCCTTCACAGACTGCCTCAGCTGCCCCAGCCATGCCTTCCTAGACCCTGTGACGCAGACATGCTCCCGGCAAAGCCAGAGCAGCCGCGAGTCCCCGCTGCAGCAGCAGCAGCCGCCACCACAGCCACCCCAGGAGGTGGAGACAGAGCCGAGGCCACGGGCCGGGCTGCTGCCCTCCCACCTGCCCGAGGTGGTGGCCGGCCTCAGCTGCGCCTTCATCGTGCTGGTCTTCGTCACTGTCTTCCTGGTCCTACAGCTGCGTTCAGGCTTCAGCTTCCGGGGGGTGAAAGTGTACACCATGGACCGGGGCCTCATCTCCTACAAGGGGCTGCCTCCCGAAGCCTGGCAAGAGGAATGCCCGTCCGACTCTGAAGAGGATGAGGGCCGGGGCGAGAGGACCGCCTTTATCAAAGACCAGAGCGCCCTTTGACGAGCGCCCACTGCCCGCCCCCTCAAGCCGATCCCCTTCTTGGGCACTTTTTAATTCACCAAAGTATTTTTTTATCTTGGGACTGGGTTTGGACCCCAGCTGGGAGGCAAGAGGGGCAGAGGCTGCTTCCCACAGTACCCTAGGGCCCGCCTGGCTGCCTGAGGTGGGGCCCCAGGACCAGCTAGGGGGCAGGGGAGGGCCTTGCCCCACCTTTAGCACCCCTCTGTGTAGAGAAAGGAATGAAATCTGTGGGCCAGCTTTCCAAGGTCCAGGCCAGCGGGAGTTCCTTGTGGAGTGAAGAGGGGCAGCCCTTCCTTTTCGGGATTCCTGGCCCAGGCTGTAGCTCTTGCCCCTTCCTGTCCCTCTAAAGCAATAATGGTCCCCATCTAGGCAGCAGGGAGATGGGTCGAGGGGGTATTTGAAGGAGAAGGCCACCTCTCCAAGGGCTTTTGCATCCCAACCCTGTCCCCGCTCTGGTGAGCCCCAGGTGGAAGTGGTGATCATAGGAAGGGACCAATGCAAGGAGGTGCTGCCAGGGCGTGTGTGGGCCCCTGTGCCTACTCTGCACCTTGTGCCTCACACAGCTGGCTGCCAGGCTGAGCAGGCGGGCCCGGCCAAGGCTGATGCTCCAGTGGAGCCCCGTGCTGGTGTCCTGACCACCCTCCCCTCTCCCACCCTCCTCTCCTGCCAGGGCCCGAGTCCTTGTTTTCTGAGCCCGGGGCTGCCTGGGCTGTTGGCACTCACAGTCCTGGAGCCCCTGGGTGGGTGGTGGGGAGGGACGGTGGCCCAGCCGGCCTCTCCCACCTCCCACCCAATGCTGCTTTCCCCTGTGGGGATCTCAGGGGCTGTTTGAGGATATATTTTCACTCTGTGATTATTTCACTTTAGATGCTGATTTTTTTTTTTTTTTTTTTTTTTTTTAATGGGAGTAGCAGCTGGACCACCCATCTTCCCACGCCTCCTGTCTCCACTGCTGTTCCCCCAGCTGCCCTGGCCTGAGGTGTAGGGGGGGCTGCAGCACGTTGCTGAGGAACAGCCAAGCCCTAAGTCCTGAAGAGGCAGGCAGGCCGGGTGGGCCCTAGGAAAGGGGGTCGTGGGGAGGGGGACAGGCTGTCATCCATGTTTCAAATGGGGTTCATCGTGCCAAGGGCTCATGGGTCACTGGTTCTCCAAGTGCCAGGGGTGGGCGGGTGGTGGCACTGAGCCCCCCAACACTGTGCCCTGGTGGAGGAAGCATTGACCTGTCATGCCCTCCAAGCCCCCCTCTTCTGACGTGCCTTTTGCACCCCTCCCATTAGGACAATCAGTCCCCTCCCATCTGGGAGCCCCCTTTTCTTTCCCTTAGCCCCTCTTGGCACCCAGCCACCTGCCCAGGGGTGCCTCCTCCTCTGCCACCCCCCACCCTTGTGGCCAGCCCAGCTGGTTTTGTAAGATACTGGGTTGGTGCACAGTGATTTTTTTTCCTTGTAATTTAAACAGGCCCAGCATTGTTGGTTCTATTTAATGGACACGAGATAATGTTAGAGGTTTTAAAGTGATTAAATGTGCAGACTATGCAAACCAGGCCTGGCCTCCAGTGTGGTGATATTGTTCTTTCCAGGACCCCTGTTTGCCTTTTGGTGGGCTCAAGTCAGGAAGCTAAAGTACCTCCCCACCACGGGGCTCCAGGCCTCCTGCAGGTGTAGATGTACCAGTTGGGTGTGGAAGGAGATGGCCTGGAGACAAGGTGGGGGAGTGAGCGGCTCTCTCCTGCCCCTACCCCTCCCTCACCCCTGCCAGCTAAGCACTTCCACTCCAACATCCTGGTTTCCAGCTGGGTGGAGAGGCAAGCAGCTCCCTCCCAGGGACCTGTGTCCCAGTTGCTCAGTGTCTTCCTTGGCTGGAGTGACCTGGCCACCAGCTGTAGGGCTGAGGCCTTCAATGGGGCAGGATGCCTCTGTCGGGCTTGACTGAACCAAGATGGCTTTTGCTGGAGAGAGCCGGGTCCCTAGTCCAGAGCCCAGAGACTGGAGTGGCTCCACTTTTGCCTGAAGCACAGGAAACTCTATATCCCTCACTTCACAGCCCCTGCCCCTTGCCTCCACTTGGTTTTCCTTGGGATGGAGCCCCTGCCAGGGAATAGGTGGGTGGGGATGGTGCCACCAGGACCTGTGCCTGAGAAGCGGGCCTCTCCCGGGAATATCTACTTGGAAATTTTATTCAAACAGAAGCCGGCGCCCTGGCTCTCCTTAGGGAATCCAGTGGGTGGGGAAGGCCTGGGTCAGGCGTCCCCCTTCCTCTTCGGGGGCTGCCCTTGCCTGGTGCTAGAGTTGCCCGTTTGCCCCCAGACCGTGGACCCTCGGGGCTCTCCTGGGCCCAACGCCCGCCTGGGGCCTCGCCCTGTGCCCAGCCTCCCCTGCACCGCACCCTTGGGCCGTCTCTCCGTGTTCCCGGGGCGCTGCCCGGGCAGGCCGCTCGTCCGCACGGCCATTCTTTCCCGGCCCCCTCCTCCCTTCCGTTTCCGCGACTCCGCGGCCGGCCGGCCGGAGCTTAGGGCCCGGCGCTGGGCAGGGGGGCCGGTCCCACCCGCCCCTTCCCTTCGGCAGGCCCGCCCCGGGGGCCTGGGCCAACCGAAACCTCGGGAGGAGGAAGCGCGGAATCAGGAACTGGCCGGGGATCGGCGCGGCGTCCGAGTCGGTCCGCGGCGGCCCCAGGAGCAGCTGCCCGCGCGGGTAACTCCGGCCTAGCGGCCCAGGAGGGAGGCGGAGGGCGGGGAGCGAGGCGGCGGGCAGGGGCCAGGCCGGGGAAGGGGCCCGCGGAAGGGCGGGGCGGCCCCTCGGCCAGCGCAGGGGCAGGCTTAGCCCTTCCAAGGGCCAGGGCACGCGCGCCCCTCGAATGGGTGCTGGGTGGAAGGGCCTGGGGAGGGAGGCTTCCATCTGTCCCCTGTTCCAGGACCTGGAAGGGGAACCCTGGCACCGCTGCTTGGCCTGGGACGCAGGAGACCCTGAGGGCTAGTCCCAGCCCAGGCCCCTGTTTGTACTTCTGGATGCATTTCGGCAAGGCAGGACCCCACCTCCCCCGCCTGACTGCAGCCCCTCCTGGAGGGCAGCCCTGCCGCGATGCTCCTCCACCTCCAGATGCTGCCTTGGCCCCAAGTGATGGCCTGTCTTCTGTCCCCAGTACAGCACCATGGGCTTCTCTTCAGAGCTGTGCAGCCCTCAGGGCCACGGGGCAGTGCAGCGGCTGCAGGAAGCTGAGCTTCGGCTGTTGGAGGGCATGAGGAAGTGGATGGCCCAGCGGGTCAAGAGTGACAGGGAATACGCTGGGCTGCTGCACCACATGTTCCTGCAGGACAGCGGGGCCCAGAGCCGGGGCATGGCCCCCGACAGCCCCATCAGCCAGGTAGGGGTCTGTGGGGCCCTAAGCCTGCTTATCTCCTTCCCACCCTCTACCTGGGGCACACCTGCATGCATGTCCCCTCCCTCTCCTGGAGCCCACTGGGGAGGAATGGGATTGGAGACTTGGGAGCCATTGTCCCCCACCCCCTGCCTTACCCATCCCATGCTCTAGTCCTGGGCGGAGATCACCAGCCAGACAGAGGGCCTGAGCCGGTTGCTGAGGCAGCACGCAGAGGATCTGAACTCAGGACCCTTAAGCAAGCTGAGCTTGCTGATCCGGGAGCGGCAGCAACTCCGCAAAAGCTACAGCGAGCAGTGGCAGCAGCTGCAGCAGGAGCTCACCAAGGTGAGGGAGCAGTGCTGGGCCTTTGCCTGCCCCTTTCTGCCCTTCTTGAGCTTAAAAGGGCCGGTTTTGCACACCAGCTCCTAGATTCACTGGGGAAGTGAAAGTCCCTGACTGCAGGCCTGGCCCCAGGGCCTGCCCCAACCCTGCTGCAGCTTCCTCCCAGGCTCCCCCGACTTGGACTGGCCTGCCGCTTGCCTTCTCCGTGCATTTTTTGAGCTTCCTGCTGTGTGTGTGCATGGGCAAGGGACTGGGAGTGTGAGGATGAGTGGGTCCAGGCCTTGCCCAGGAGGAACTCGATATCTGTGCTCTTCCCATGCTGCCCTGCCTGGCTGTGCAGTCTGAGAGACAGGAATAAGGGCCAGTCAGTCTGACCTTGGCCAGGCCAGCTTTAAGCAGTCCACGTCCCAGCCTTCAGCATCTCCTCAGGCCTCCTCCCATGGCCCCAGAGACACCACACTGCAGTAGTGTGACCCCTAACACAATGGTCAAGGACTGGGGCTGTGGAGTTGGCCTACCCAGGTTTGAATCCCACCTAGCTCCTTGATCTAGAGGCTGTGTAATTTGGAGCTGATGATTTACCTGGGTGCTCGAAACCCGTTGCCATTGAATATGGTTTGCAAGGAGCGGCTGGTGGATTCAAACTGCCCACCTTTTGGTTAGCAGTCAAGCTCTTAATCACTGGCCACCAGGGCTCTCTCCATTTACTGTGCTCGTTAGGCCCCTGCACTGCACCCTTTCCATGAGCGCAGAGCCCAGCCTTACCGTGGACCCACAGCGGCCCCTGGTGGCCAGCTTGGTCCTATTTCTGTCTTCTTACAGAAGATCTTCTAATGCCGGGATCTAGCTGTTTCGTAGATAAAGGTTTTCTAGAACACAGCCATACCCATTTGTTTACATATTATCTGTTGGAAGCCCTGGTGGCCTAGTGGTTAAGAGTTCTGCTGCTGACCAAAAGGTCGGCAGTTCAAATCCACCAGGCGCTCCTTGGCAACCCTATGGGGCAGTTCTATTCTGTCCTGTTGGGTTGCTATGAGTCGGAATCGATTTGACAGCAACGGGTTTGGTTTGGTTTTGGTGTGGCTACTCTAGAGCTACAGTGGCAGAGCTGAGTAAGTGTAACAGAAGACCATGTGGTCTTCAAAAAAGATATTTAGTATGTGTCCCTATAAGAAAAAAACTAGATTCCTCGTCTCTCTAGTCTGTATGTGCTCAGTTATTGATGGGGAAACTGAGTTTCAGTGGGGAGAGGTGAAGTTTGCCCAAAGTATCTCAGGGCATAAACGGAAGAGCTGGGATGAGAACTCTGGTCTCAGATCACCGTTTGTTGTTCCTGTCACCAGGAACATAATTTGCAGGGCCCAATGCAAAATGAAAATGTGGGGCTTCTTGTCAAAAACTTATTAAGGGTTTCAGTATGGCAACAGCAGAGCATTCAACCAGGCATAAACTGAAACGAAACCAGTTGCCATCAAGTCAGTTCTGACTCATGATGACCCCATGTGTGTCAGAGTAGAACCACACTCCATAGGGTTTTCAATAACTGTGATCCTTCAGAAGTAGATCATCAGGCTTTTCTTCCAAGAAGCCTCTGGGTAGACTTGAACCACCAACGTTTCTGTTAGTAGCCTAGGGCTGTTAGTGCCGTGCAGGGACTCTAAGCCAGGTACAGGGCCTTTGTAAGCATGGGCCCTGTGTGACTGCACAGGCCACATATCCATGACCCTGGCCCTACCTGCCACCAAGACAGCACTCTCAGGCGAAGGCAGGACAGTTGTAGCCTGCCTAGTCCACCCCTCTGCTTCCCCCAAGGGGGCCTGTCTCAACCCACGTTCTCTGACCGTAACCTCAGTGGCCAACTTCTCTGGAAGTCCCCAGCTGGGCCCCTCCTGGAGGACAAGCTTGGATGTGCTGCCTGCCTGGACATCAGGACCTCTCCACGCCTTCACCAAGGGCAGAAATCTTCCATGTCCTGGGGGCCACTGCCCCACACTGACCTCTTCTCTCCCCAGACCCACAGCCAGGACATTGAAAAGCTGAAGAGCCAGTACCGAGCCCTGGCACGGGACAGCGCCCAGGCCAGGCGCAAGTACCAGGAGGCCAGCAAAGGTCTGTGGTTTCCCCTACTGGCAGGGATGCACTTAAACCCCAAGCCAGTCCTAACCAACCCATGGGTGCCCAGGGAAGGAGTCTGCCCAGGCCAATATGCTGTCACCTGTACTCCCCCCTTCACCCGAGCAGACAAGGACCGTGACAGGGCCAAGGACAAGTATGTGCGCAGCCTGTGGAAGCTCTTTGCCCACCATAACCGCTATGTGCTGGGCGTGCGGGCCGCGCAGCTGCACCACCAGCACCACCACCAGCTCATGCTGCCCAGCCTGCTCCAGTCCCTGCAGGACCTGCACCAGGAGATGGCGTGCATCCTGTAAGCCCGCAGCCCCCACCGCGTTTATAACAGACCTAGCGCCTTGCTACCATGCCCAGACGCAGGGGCCAGAAAATTCAGTCCTGCAAAAGTGGTGGTCACATTATCATGTGAGAACTCAGGGCAGGAGATTCCCAAGATGTGACTCTTAAGCATCTCCAGGGTGGACATCTTTCCCCCCATCTCACTGCTGCACCTGAGGCCAGGGACAGATGTCAGCAGGTGGCCAGGCTTGGGGAGGGGAAGGGCAACAATGAGGAGCACAGCCTGGTCAACTGGGCATGGCTGGCGGCAGCGGGCGTGAGCGGGCAGCTCACCAAGGAGGACGTGGAGTGGCGGTCAGAGCCAGTAGACTTAAATCCTAGTTATCTTATCCCAAGGCCCTTTATGGAGTTTTGTTGTACGCACTGAGCACTGTTTTAGGCTCTGCGATGGAGTGTTGAACAAAGACAAAAATATCTATTCTAAGGGATCTTTCATTTTAGGGTAGAGAGAAAATATACAAAGTTAAGAAGTAAAATAGAAAGCCCAGTAGAGGCAATAAGAGAAAACTAAAGCAAGAAAAGACGTTTGGAAGTGCTGAGGAACAGGGGAGGGGGTTACAGTTTTAGCTGGAGTGGGCTGGGAAAGCCTCTTTGAGAAAGTGATAATCAGATACAGACCTGAGGGAGGTGGGGGAGTAAGCCATGGGGATATCTGGAGAAAGACCCTTCCAGAAAGGGTATTGCAAGTGCGCAGGCTCTGAGGTAGACAATGCCTGAAGTATCCAGGGAATAGCAAGCAGGCCGGTGGAGTTTACGAAAGTGAGGGGAGGGAAGGTCAGACTGAGGCCAGAGGGGGCCGGGGATGGGGCCATTGGATGACAGAGGCTCCCCTAGACCATTTTGAGGGCTCTGGGTGAACCAGAAGAGTGACATGACCTGACCTCTACAGCTTTGTGGAGGATAGACTTTAGGGGGCAAGGTAGAGGTGGGGACCAAACAGGAGGCTGTGGCAGTAATCCTGACAAAAGATCATGGCGGCTCAGAGCAGGGAGGTGGTGGGAAGTGGTCAGTTCCTGGGTATATTTTGAAGGTAGAGCCCGTAGGATTTCCTATGGATTGGACATGGAGTATGAGAGGCATCAAGGATGACTCCTAGGATTTGGTCTGTGCAGCTGGAAGATGAAGTCACCATGAACTTATGTGGTGAAGGCTGCTGGAGGAACAGGTTTAGGAGAGAAGAATAGGAATTCATACTTCACCTAGGAGAGTGTGGGTGTCCGAGAGATGTCCAGTGGGATATTTTGAGTCAGTGGTTGGATGCATGAGGCTGGCACTCAGGGGAGGGGCCAGGACTGTGATCAGTGACATGTTGGTGGCCCAGAGCCCTAGCTGTCAGGCTGGCTGCCTAGGGCAGGGCTAAATCCTGTACACCAGACACCGCGCACACATCATCTCATTGGATCACTGTTACAACCCCATGAGGCTAGGACTTTCATCATTCCATTGTACATATCAGGAAACTGAAGATCAGGGGGTGATTAAGTAATTTGTCTGAGGTCATCTAGCTAGAACATGGTGAGTGGCGGGGGCGGGGTGGTCAACCCCAAGGTTGATTCAAACCCAGAGTTGTAGGCCCTGATCTGCCCAGCCTGACAACCCCCTGACCGGGGGTCCCATCTGGGGGGCAGGAAGGAGATCTTGCAGGAGTACCTGGAGATCAGCAGCCTGGTGCAGGACGAGGTGATGGCCATTCACCAGGAGATGGCAGCAGCTGCAGCCCGCATCCAGCCTGAGGCTGAGTACGAGGGCTTCTTGCGACAGTATGGGTAAGCCTCTTCTCGCTCCTGCCGGGCACCAGGGCTGCTGGCCTGTTCATTGACTGGGCGCTGGCCCCCCCCCAGGTCTGCACCTGATGTCCCACCCTGTGTCACCTTTGATGAGTCCCTGCTTGAGGAGGGCGAACTGCTGGAGCCCGGGGAGCTGCAGCTAAATGAACTGACGGTGGAGAGCGTGCAGCACACGTGCGTGGTGGCTTGGCAGCTGGGCCAGGGCAGGGCCCCGGGCAGACTGTGGAGGGGCGGACACTGCCCATACAGGGTCGTGGCCTGGCGGCCGAGCCTGCTTGGCTCTGCAGGGATACACCTGGGGACCCTGACTCTAACACTGCCCTCCCCTTGGGCGCAGGCTGACCGCAGTGACTGGTGACCTGGCTGAGGCCACTGAGACGGTGCTTAGCCGGCAAAAGGTGGTCACTCAGCTGCAGTATGAGCTCCAGAACGAGGAGCAGAATACCCACCCCCGGGAGCGGTGAGTGGGCTCTCCTGGGGCAGCGTCATGGCTGTCCTTCCTTCTCTCCAGCCGGCCTGACCCACAGCTGGCCACCGCCTGCAGGCTGAGCCCCTTCCTCTCCCCCACCCTCCCACCTGCCCCTGCCTACAGGGTGCAGCTGCTCAGCAAGAAGCAGGCGCTGCAGGAGGCGCTGCAGGGGCTGCAGGTCACGCAGTGCAACCAGGCCAAGCTGCAGGCCCAACAAGAGCTGTTGCAGACCAAGCTGGAGCAGCTGGGCCCCGGTGAGCCCCCGCCCGTGCACCTCCTGCAGGACGACCGCCACTCCACGTCCTCCTCGGTGAGCTGCCCGCCCACGCCTGCCGCCACCAGCATGCCCACTTTCCCGGGCCGCGCTCCTCATTTTCACCCTCCCCCTCCCCAAGCCCGGCCACCCGCTGACGTCTGTCCCTGGCCTCAGGAGCAGGAGCGAGAGGGGGGAAGGACGCCCACCCTGGAGATGCTTAAGAGCCACATCTCGGGAATCTTCCGCCCCAAGTTCTCGGTGAGTGGAGCCCAGCCTGGGTCCATACCTCTGCCTGTCCTTAGGGGTGGGCCAGGCCAGGGATCTCAGTGAGGTCCCCCCAAACCGCCCCTACCACCATAGTGTTTGGGGTTTAGGCGCTGGAGTACCCTCAGAGAGGTAGCTCTACCCAGGCTGCTTTTATTGGGGATCCCCTGCCCTGGAATTCCAGGCTGCACCCAGTGCCCCCTTCCTATCCGCACCCATGTGTACCTAAGTGACCAGCAGCCTCAATTACCTTGTGGCTCTCCCTGCTCCAGGAGTGGGTAGGGCAGTAGAAAAGCTACCAGCTTGGTTTGGGGTCTGCCAGCCTGGACTTCCCATCCCAGCTCTCCCACAGGGCGAGCCTGGGCAAGTCCACGCCTACTCCAGGGCCAGTGGGTGCTCCACGTGCCACTCGGGGTATGAGGATTGAGAGGCATATAGAAGTGGCTGGTGGCCTCCCATGACAGGCTGGCTGAGTGACCCCTCTATGCCCCTCCCCTGCCCCCTGCCCAGCTCCCCCCACCACTGCAGCTTGTCCCTGAAGTGCAGAAGCCCCTGCATGAGCAGCTTTGGTACCACGGAGCCATCCCGCGGGCAGAGGTGGCAGAGTTGCTGATGCACTCTGGGGACTTCCTGGTGCGGCAGAGCCAGGGCAAGCAGGAGTATGTGCTGTCGGTGCTGTGGGACGGGCAGCCCCGACACTTCATCATCCAGTCAGCAGATGTGAGTGGGGCTGCCTCCCCCTCCCCTGCTCCCCACACCCCTTGCTAAGGTCAATGACCTTGAGAGGGTATGGAGTAGTGGCTACATCCTAGATGCCTGCCCCCCAGGCCCTACAATAGAATGGAGGCTTCAGTCTCAGCACGTGTCCTCCTCCAAGAACGAGGGGGCAGAGCTGTCCTTCGCCGTCAGATAGTATCTGGAACGGCTCTTTTAGCAGGTCTCACTGCCTCTAGTCCTAGGCAAGCCCTCTCTCCCTGCTGCCCTACCTCTCTCTCCCAGGTCTCAGGTTCCCCCAGCAATGGGGGCAGTTGACCCCCAGTCTCCTTGCCCTGCAGAACCTGTACCGACTGGAAGGGGACGGCTTTCCCAGCATCCCCTTGCTCATCAACCACCTGCTGCATTCCCAGCAACCCCTCACCAAGAAGAGCGGTGTTGTCCTGAATAGGGCTGTGCACAAGGTGAGCCTGGCCCAGCCCAGCCCATGCCGCCCTCAGCCAAGCTGGTAGGCACATGGGTCCCAGGCCCACACAGGGGCAGAGTAGGAGGGCTTCGAGGGCCCCCAGTCTAGAGTGTGTGGACGCACTCCTCACTCCTCACGAGGCGGCCAGCCTTGCTCTGGGAGACTTGGGATGTCAAGGCCACTCCCCTTCTGTGGGTTGCATACACCAGGCTGGCTCTCACACTGTTGGGGCACCTCCCGGGTCCTGAAGGCATCTGAGTTTGTGATCCTGGTGTGGTCCAACGCCCATTCTACAGACCAGCAAACCATGGCTCCAAGATTTGAAGACATAGCATTGGTAGGGGAGATGTTCAGCCCTCCCTGGGGCCCAGCACCCCTTCCCTTCACTGACTTCTGACTCTCCAACTCCTCCCCTCCCCCAGGACAAGTGGGCACTGAACCATGAGGACCTGGTGTTGGGCGAGCAGATTGGGCGGGTGAGTGCACCGCCACCCATCCACCAGCTCCACCGGCCCCCTTGCTGCCTGCGTTTTCCCTGCCCTGTACCACTTCCTTCTAGTCCACAACCCCAGCCACACCTGAGGCTCCACCCTCCAGAGAGCTTTTCTGCCTCCTGCCTCGGTCTGACTCCCATCTTATCCCCCTGACTCCATACACAGTCCTCCAGGAACCTCAGTGAAAAGTACCCACCCTGAGAACTCCTTGGGGGACAGACGGCTCTGTCGCCAGCACCCTACCCCCCCTGACCTTTGGGCCTTGCCTCCCCTGGGTGTTCTTATATGCGCAGGGAGCCACACTCTGCTAATATGAGCTGTAAAATATGCTTACGGTCCCTGGGTGGCACAAACAGTTTGTTCGACTGCTAACCTAAAGGTTGGTAGTTCGAACCCACCCAGCAGCACCACAGAAGAAAGGCCTGGCAATTTGCTTCCATAACGATTACAGCTGAGAAAACCCTATGGAGCAGTTCTATTCAATAACACATGGGGTCGCCACGAGTCGGGATTGACTCGCTGGCAACAGGTCTGGTTTGGTTTTAAAATATGCTTAGGAAAAAGGTTACTTTCCTAAAAATCAGAATGCTTTTCAAACCCAAGTGGAAGCCATGTTTGGGTTTTCCACGTCTCTTCTCAGTGACCGTGGTAGAAAGTGGGAGGTACCTTTCTCTGCCCATCCATGCTTGCTGTCTTGGTTTCCCAGCCAGGGTGTCAGCTGCTAGAGAGCCAGGGCTGATCAGTGCCGAGCGTGGGGGCACTCAGTGAAAAAGGGGTGGGGACAAGGTGGGCTGTCCCCCCTGAGCCGAGGAGAAGAAGAAGGCGGTTCTGGGAAGACTTTGGTAGGAGCCCAGGGCTGTTTCAGGGGAACTTTGGCGAAGTGTTCAGTGGACGCCTGCGAGCTGACAACAGCCTCGTAGCCGTGAAATCTTGCCGAGAGACGCTCCCCCCTGACCTCAAGGCGAAGTTTCTGCAGGAAGCGAGGTGAGTAATATGATCCTCCTCACCATACGTTCCCCACATGAAGGGGTTCCTCTGTGTGGCACTCTGTAAGTGCTTGACTTCATGGTCTCCTTCAGTCCTCATGGTCCCCTATGCAGGCAGTGCCCTCCCCCACATTGTACGGAATTGGGGGGACAGCCTTGGCGAGACCCAGTGACCCATCCGAGGTCACACACTCTGGTCTGCTGGCCCCAGACGCCAGGCTCTTCTCCTGCTGCCCTTCTCCATCCAACATCGGCTTCCCTGGGGCTCCCGGGGCTGGGGAGGCAAATGTGCAGGCCCCAGAGGTGGGAGTAGGCCACATGGCGCCTAAGCAGCAGGGCCCTACAGGATCCTGAAGCAGTACAGCCACCCCAACATTGTGCGTCTCATTGGCGTCTGCACCCAGAAACAGCCCATCTACATTGTCATGGAGCTCGTGCAGGGTGAGCAGGGGTGCTGATCTTCAGGGTAGGGGACTCAGCCCAGCCAGGTGGGTCCCCGCAGGAGGCTCAACAGGGCTTCTCCCGCCCACAGGAGGCGACTTCCTGACCTTCCTCCGGACAGAGGGCCCCCGCCTGCGGGTGAAGATTCTGCTGCAGATGGTGGGAGACGCAGCTGCCGGCATGGAGTACCTGGAGAGCAAGTGCTGCATCCACCGGTGAGCGTGTGGGGGGTGGCCCAGCCCGACACCCTGCCTGGCCAGAGTCAGGAGGTGCTGTCACCTCTGTGCTCCTCGGACTCCCCTGTCCCCTGACTGCTGGGCATCAGCTCCAGAGGTGGAGCTTGCCTCTCCTGAGAGGTTTGGTTCATGGCTGAATCTACAGTGCTCAGCCCAGGCTAGGCAGGTGACAGGGGTTGTCTGGACATTGGCTGAATGAGCCTCCTGCCGTACCTTGCCCAGGGACCTGGCTGCTCGGAACTGCCTGGTGACTGAGAAGAACATACTGAAGATCAGCGACTTTGGGATGTCCCGGCAGGAAGCTGATGGGGTCTACGCAGCCTCAGGGGGCCTCAGACAAGTCCCTGTGAAGTGGACTGCCCCTGAGGCTCTTAACTATGGTATCTGGTCCTTGTCTTCTCATGGCTGCAGGGCTGGAGGCTGGGCATGGGTCCTGTTACCCAATGGTGATGTGTCAGTCCCCTAGGGCTGCTGTAACAAAATGACGTAAAGTGGGTGGATTTAAAGAACAGAAATCTATCGTCTCACAGTTCCGGGGGCTGAAGGTCCAAATCAGGGTATCAGCTATGTCGATTCTTTCTGAGGGCTTTGGGAGAGGAACTATTCTGTGCCTCTCTCCCAGCTTCTAGAGGGTGCTGTCAACACTTGGCATTCCTTTGCTGCTTGAAGATGTATCTTCACATGCATCTTCCCCCACGCCCGGCTCTGTTTCAGTGTCTATCCTCCTCTTTGATGATACGCCAGTCATGTAGGATTAGACCCCACCTGGCTCCAGGATGACCTGGTTAACTTCACTGATAATATATTCAAAGAAAGGCCCTACTTCCCCTGTAAGGTCGCATGCATAGGTACAGGGGTTAGGACTGCCACGTGTCTGTTTGGGGGCCCAGTTCACTCACAGCACAGTACTTAAGAGCTCTGCCCTCCTCTGGCTGCTTTACTCTGGCCACGTGGAAAGGCCACGTGGACAGCCGCTCACCCTGCCTCACTTCCTCTGAAGGCCGCTATACCTCCGAGAGTGACGTGTGGAGCTTTGGCATCTTGCTCTGGGAGACCTTCAGCCTGGGGGCCTCCCCATACCCCAACCTTAGCAACCAGCAAACTCGGGATTTTGTGGAGAAGGGTAAGGAACCCATCTGCCTGTCAGCAGCCTTCAGAGCCACGCCCTCTTCCCAGGGTCGCAGCTGGACTCTTCTTGGTTCCCTAACCTTCCACCTTCCCACTGGGACAGAATGAGAACAATCCTGTAGCTACCACTGAGTGAGCACCTACTGTGTGCTAGACCATACATTATTTCAGTTACTCTCCACATGTGAGGTGGGGGGTTGATATGTCCCTTTTACAGATGGGAAAACTGAGGCTTGTGAAGTCACACAACTAGCACATGGTGGGGTTGAGATTAGAACCCAGGCCTCTGTATTCCTGGGGCCCTTGATGAATAAGAGTGGTTCCTTAGGAACAATGCATCTTAAGCAGCTCTTACTGCTCAGGGTTTGCCCCCCAGGGGCTGGCATGAGCCCTCAAGCCCCCTCCTCATGCCTGGTGTGCTGTGCCTGTCCTCACAGGGGGCCGCCTGCCCTGCCCAGAGCTGTGCCCTGACGCCGTGTTCAGGCTCATGGAGCAGTGCTGGGCCTATGAGCCTGGGCAGCGGCCCAGCTTTAGCATCATCTGCCAGGAGCTGCAGAGCATCCGAAAGCGGCATCAGTGAGGCTGGGACCCCTTCTCAGGCCAGCAGCCTCTGCAGGCAAGACTGCCTCCTCGCCAGCTGCAGCCCACTCTGCTGGACAGCTCTTCACAGTCCTGGACTCCAGCCACCAGCTTCCGTGATGCCAGCAGGGATGCGGCTCCTGTCTGCTCAGCCTCCCTGCTCCTGCCAGGGCTTCCTCGCTAGGCAGAAATAAAAACCACTTGTGCCCACTGAGTGCTTGGCATGTGCGCTCCTCTGGAAGGACTGGAAGGCCTGTACTGTGGCCATGGGAAAGGGGAAGGTGGATTCAGGCAGGTTTTGCTAGCCTCTTGGATGTGAGACGGGAGGAAGCAGGAGAGATCAGGGTGATATACAGGCTTCTGACCAGAGGGTGGTGGCATTCCCTGAAATAGGATCACAGGAAGCCGAGCAGAGCTGCGGGGAGGATGGTGTGTTTGAGGGGCCTGTGGAGATGTAAATGTGGACGTTTCACTGTGGAAGCCCAGGCGGAGGTAAAGGCCGGTGATAGAGATTTGAAGGTCATTAGCTTATAAATGTTCCACACTGTGGATGTGTATGATAATCACATAAGATTCAGAATGAGACGAGAAGAGAGTCAGGGAAAGTGTTCCACTCGTAGGAGGCTAGAGTGGCTGAAGAGGAAGAAAATGCTTCCCAGGGAGTTCATCTCCTGAGGCTACTGCGCAGTGGGGTGGCGAGCAGGGAGCCCTCAGCTCCTCCCCTAACTCCCACTGAAATCTATACAATCATCTGGGACATTTCCAGTAGCAACAGCAAAGGTCAAAAAGATAAAGAAATGTGCACAAACTGAAGAATCAGAAACCGGAAAAGAGCTATAGGCAAAAAAAGCGATAAGGACTTTGGGGTAAAATGGCTACCCCTCGAGAAAGTTTAGGAAATAGTTGACGTCTGTTTTCAAAGAGAGAAAAGAGAGCCCTATAAGCTTGTTTAGGTCCGGGGTGGTGCAAATGGTTTGCACTTGAATCGACTCGACGGCAATGGGTTTGGTTCTTTTGGTTTACTAACCTAAACAGGAGCCCTGGTGGCACACTGGTTAAGCCCTCAGCTGCCAACCCAAAGGTTGCTGGTTCAAACCCACCAGTGGCTCCATGGGAGAAAGATGTGGCTATCTGCTTGTGTAGAGATTTACAGCCCTGGAAACACTATGGGGCAGTTCTACTCTGTACTATAGGGCCTCTGTGAGTCAGAATCGACTTGATGGCAACAGGTTTGGTTTTGATTTTACTAACATAAAGGTTGTCTGTTCAAACCCACCTAGCAGCACTGCAGAAGAAAGGCCTGGAGATCTGCTTCAGTAAAGATTACAGCCAAAAAAACCTTATGGAGCAATTCTACTCTGTAACACATGCGGTCGCCATGAGTCCACATCAACTCTATGGCAGTGGGTTTGGTTTTTTGGTTTATAACTGTTTAAACAGAAGGAAATCCAGTTAGAGTGTGATTAGAAGAAAATACTAAGAAGTCAAATCATATCTTCGTTGGAAGTGGTAAAAAGAAAAGTGAAGAACTGCTTCTGGGTGTGATGCGGTAGGTCTCCACAGACCACTTCCGTTGCAACAACTAGGAAAAATATAAAATGAAAATAATCATATTTTTAAAGGCAATGGAGAGTGAGGGAAGAAATGACTAGATGAACTAAAATTTCAAGGAGGAAAGCCTTTCCAAGGTGAGCTGGTGGTGGATGGCTCTTTTCTTCCCGGAGGCATTTGTTGATTTGAGGCATCAGTGAGGATCAGACTTGAGCTAAGCAGAGAGTCTCTACTGGGGAAAAGAAAAACAAACAGCTTTTGGCAGTTGCAGGGACTATGCTATGCACTGGGAACTAGAGGAGCCCAAAATGCCAATCCTGTTTTTCCCATGGAACATTTGCTGAGTTCTGGGACAGTATGGGGGACTGGGAAGGAGTGGGGCTAGAAAAGCAGGTCCTACAGTCTTGCAGTGTTTAGAGGGAGGGAGCCTAAAACAAAAAAACTGCTCTCCCCCCCCTCAAGATATTTGCCAGATTTTGAACCTGTGTGGGCTGGGAGCCTCAAGAGCTGACCTCAGAATCTCTGAAGAACAGAACTTTTAAGAGCTGAGAGAGACAGACTGGCCAGGCTTTCAATCTAAAACCTGAGAGAGGCACTCCTGAGGGACGGAGCAATGCAGAGGAGGGTGGAATTTTACCAGAACTATAACTCTGCCCCAACCCACCTAGCTCAATACCTGATTACATTGAGGTGACCTGTGGCGGAGGGGATAGGAATAACATCAGCTGAACCTTCTGCACTTCTTTTATACCTGATATATGACATACAATAAAAAATTACCAAACATACATACGTACACGGAAAGATAAATGGGACCGATACACAAGAGAAAAACTAATAGAAGCAGATCCACAGATGATCCAGATATTGGAGTTGGCAGGCAAGGATTTAAAAATAGTATGTTAAATAGAAAAAAGATGGACAAAAGTAGATTCAAATATAGACAATTTCAACAAAGTTGCAATCTGTTAAAAAAGAATCAAAGGAGCATATAGAATGGAAAAATAACACCTCTGAAATTGTGAACTCATTGGATGAATTTATGACAAATTGTTAGAACTAAATCCAGAATCATAGACTAGACCCATTAGAAGATAGGATTAGTAAACTTGAGGATGGGTTAATAGGAAGTATCTAAACTGAAGCACAGAGAGGGAAAAAAGAATGGAAAGAACAGAGCATAAGAAATGTACGGGACTCCAAAATATGAGTAGTTGAAGTTCCAGAAGAGGAGAAATTGGGGCCAGAATAAACTGGACATGACTATTAAGAGAAAAATGGATAAAGTGTAATGTATTCACACAGTGGGATACTATACAGCAATAAAAAAGAACAAACCACTGATAACATGCACCAACATTGATGAATCTCAAAGACATGGGGAGTAAAGCAGTCAGACATGACAGCACATACTGTATGCTTCCATTTATATGAAGTTAAAGAACAGGTGAAACTAACTTTAGAGAAAGAGTTCAAAACAGTAGTTATATCTGGGAAATACTGAGGGTGTAGGGGAACAGCTTAGACCTTACAGCCTTGCATGTCTCTACATAGGCCACGTAGGCAGAGCTTGGCAGGTGGCTTGAGTCATAGCAGAATGCACTGCAACTCCTCCCTGAATAAGGAGAGATAAGTCGCCACGAGGCAGTTTCTCATCTGCCTCCCTATCTTGTGGGAGACTGCCAGAAAGCCATTTTGCATCCGTCTTCCTAGTTTCTGTAGAACACAGGGCTTTCCACCCCACCCCACCCCCACCTTAGCGTGAAGCTGCAGGTCATAAAACTGCTTGCTTGCATTTTAGATTTGGATGCTCAGCTGCAGAGTGGCCCACTGCCATGCCTTCTGTCATCTGGCCACTCCGGTTCAGTGTCATTCTGTGAGACTAGGGATGTGGGGAGCTGACACCAGGCTGATCTTGTTTTGTTTTTTAAATAATATTCTATTGTGTTTTTGGTGAGAGTTTATACAGCAAGTTAGGTTTCCCTTTGACTGTTTCCACACAAATTGATCAATGACATTAGTTATATTTTTTACATTGTGCCAGCATTCTCGTTCATTGTGTTCTGGTTGTGCCATTTCCAGCATTCTAGATTCCCTGCCCTCTTATCTTCTCATCTTTGCTTTGGATTAAATGTTGACCTTTTGGACTCATACAGATGGTTTTCTAGTAGAGCACTGATGTTAACAGGTAATCTCCTTTGTTCTGTGTGTCACTCTGCTTTTCTGCTAAAAGGTGATCTCGGGGTAGTTTTGGTTTAAGGTTTGAAGAGCGTCTCAGGGTGATAGTCTCAAGGAGTCCTCTGATCTCAGTGGTCCAGTTAATCTGGCCATTTTTATGAATGTGAATTTTGTTCTGCATTTTTCTCCCATTCCAAGCAGGATCATCTCTTGTGGCCCAGGTCAAATGGGTCATTGGTGGTAGCCAGACACCATCTAGTTCTTCTGATTTCAGGGTAGTTGAGTTTGTGGCTCGTGTCCGCTATCAGCCTTGTAAATTTGTTTCTTCTCTGAGATTTTGGTTACCTTTAACTCTTTTGCTATTGACAAGTAGAGACCAATAGTTGTATCTTAGATAGCTGTTCACAAGCTTTTAAGACCCCAGATGCTACTCACTTCACTAGGATGCAGAACATGAACTTTGTTATGCCAGTTGACTGAGTTGTCCCATGAGTCTTAACGTCCTAAGCCTTCAAACCCGGAAAACCAATCTTGCGAGGTGTTTGGGTATGTCTGAGAAGTATCTGTAATTGTGTCTTCTGTCAATATATGGAGGCCTGGTGGTGCAGTGGTTAAGAGCTGGGCTGCTAAACAAAAGGTCAGCAATCCGAATCTATCAGTCGTTCCTTGGAAACCCTATGGAGCAATTCTACTCTCTCCTAGAGGGTCACTATGAGTTGGAATTGACTGGATGGCAATGGGTATTTTTTTTTTTTTGTATGAAAATATATGCCTGCACGCACATTTCTGTACTTAACGGACATATAGATGCTTCTATCTGTGCACACTTATGTATACACCTGTACCTACCCACGTATCTATATGCCTCTACACATACAGGAGCCCTGGTGGTTCAGTGGTTAAGCGTTTGCCTGTTAACCAAAAGGTTGGCAGTTGGAGTCCACCAGCCGCGCCTTGGAAACCCTATGGGGCAGTTCTACTCTATCCTATAGGGTCACTATGAGTCAGGATCAACTCAGCGGCTCTGGGTTTGGTGTTTTGCTTTTTTTTTAATACACATACATAAGTGACTGCACACTCATTTTTTGGTAATTGTTGGTGTTGTTGCCAAATTATATATATCAGTTTCTTTAGTACAAGCATCGTTTTCTCTTGAGCACTTCTTAGTGACGTTGCTTACTTAGTGACATTTTTTACTATGCTCACTACACCCACATTCTGTGGCACTTTTCCCATCATCAAAAATAACAAATATTTACGATCTAGAGCATGCTTCCCCCTCTCGTCTTCCCCCTGGTAACCACCATTGAACATTGGTCTCTTTATAGATGTCTGTTCTTGTCTTCTTATAAAAGAGGGATCATACAATATTTGTCCGCATGTGCTCGACTTATTTCGCTTAGCTTTATGCCCTCCAGATCCATCTATGTTATAATATGTTTTGCGGACTTGTCATTGTTCTTTCTGGCTGCGTAGTATTCCACTGTATGTACCACATTTTGTTTCTCCATTCATCTGCTGATGGGCTTCTTTTTGCTATTATGTTTCCATTTGTTTGCTATTGTGTCATCATTTGTTTGCTATTATGAATAAAGCTACAATCTGATCTTGCTTTTACATAATAAGCTGGATCCATTTGTCTGGTTGTCCTCTTACTGCCTTAATCTCTGGCTGTGTGGCAAGCCCACCTAGCAGCAGCAGGTAGGACCCTTGTGGCCCCATAAACCGCCGTGCTGCACTTAGGGCCATCTTGACCAACTTGGCACCTGATGTGGAGTTGATAAGATCACAGTCCCTTTTTGGTGTGGGATAGAACTCTGGCAGGCAGTGGATTTAGTTTCTGAGGTGTTTGGTGACAGTGGAGACAAGTAGCCTTTGACCATTGTCCCTGAGATCTACAACAAGCTCCACTGGTGTTAGAGTTAGAAATCAAAGGAGGAGGGTCTTAACAGAGCTAAAGAAAGCATACCGTGGCTATTGCTCACCCTCCTAGGTGACCGAGAAAATGAAACTGCTTTTCTCCGGCCGGTGGCTGTGACTACAGACAGACCACAACCTGGTAATCAAGGGCAGTCAGTCTCTCAGAAATTTACTGACATCCACTCTCACAATGATCAAGAAAGGAGGGAAGTTAGAGATGTTATTGTTGTGTACCACTGAATCATTTCTGACTCATGGCGACCCAATATGACAGAGTAGAACTGCCCATAGGGTTTACTAGGATATAATCTTTACAGGAAGGAGCCCCAATGGCACCATCATT